GAGTCTGAACCTGAGCCTGAACCAGAGCCTGCTGCTGCTAGAGCCAACAATATTGGCGGCGGTCGCTTTGAGCGCGTAAACAAAAGCAACAGCAACAGCAACGGCCGCCTTGCCACTCCCCTGGCTTAGTGCAACATCTAAATTTACTTAATATTTCCATTTGCTTGGTTGATAGAATTTATGCCTGAGCGCGGATTGGATAACAAGCCGAACAGCAGCAGAAACAGCAGCAGCAACCATGACAATGACAGCATCTGCAGGCAGCATTGCCAATATTTATTGACATTTACCTTTGGCCGGAGCAACGAGAGCAACGACAAAAAAAATGCCCTCAGGATGCGGCAGCGACAGCAAACGACAAGCCAGGGCCACAGCAGCAGCAGCAACAGTTGCTGCCGGGCTGGCGGGGCGCCTGTTTAACTGTCAGTTATCATTCACTCAAATGACAAAAATTGCCAGGCGAATGCGCGCTGAAACTGAACTGCAAAAGGAATGCGATTCGTTGCTTTTGCTGCTGTCTGTTGCTGATGCAGATGCAAATGTTGCTGCTGAGTTACGAGCAGCGCTTGCGCTTAGAATGAGCGACAGACAACAAAGCGACATTTGAGACCAAGCACACAGGATGTGAGCTCTGGGTCTATAACATAACTCAGCGCGCACAATTAAAAACAACTTCAACAGCAACAGCAACAGCAGCAACTGTTGCAACTGCAACTGCAACAGCAACAACTGTTGCTCACTCTTGCCACAAGTTGTGCTCTCTCTCTCTCTCGCACATTTTCTCACACGCAGCGCAAATTTGAAATGAAATATTTTCGATGCTGCTGTCAACGCGAGTTCTGTTGACAACACATTAGCAACTGTTGCTGGCAACGGCAGCAGCAGCAAAAGCTACATGTTGTTGCCACTGGACAGCGGACGTTGCGCATGCGCCGCACGATTTGCAATTTGCAGCTAATTGAACGCGTGCACTGCCGCAGTTTGTACCTGAGATTTCTCTCTCTCCCTCTCCTTCACTCTCTGTGTGTGTCTGTCTCACGCTTCCCCCGCCCCGACAAATGGGAAAAAGACACATAGAAAAAACAAATGCGACTTGAAACTGGACTTGAAATTGGTTTTGAATTCAATGAATTTCGACAGCGACTCAGCGGCCAACTCCAGAATTGCCAGCAACACAACCTGACCAACAACCAGTTTACAATTGATGTTGTTGCTGTTGTTGCTGTTGCTGCTGCTGGTGACAACGACAACAGCCCAAACAGTGGGAGGCTATGTGTGAATTAGAGCGTTCGAGCCAAAGAACTAAATGGGCAACAGCTATCGACAATCATCATAATAAGATATCGTATGATATAATCTATTATCATATAACAATAACTTTATACATATAGATTTTTGTCCTGCTGTTTTGTTGTACTGTACTCCCCATTATTAATGTAAATGGTTAGACTGAAATTGTCTCTAATATTATATTGTTTTCATAATATTTAAATAGCGTTGGCTATTAATATAATACTTCATCCGTAAATGAGTCGGACATTACGAATCCTGTTGCTCGTTGTGCAGGAAAATAAGAGAACTTATCTGCCTAACGCTACCAAATTTTGTAGAGGCAGACTTGACAATTCTATTCTACCATAGTTTAAGAACCAAAGTTAAAAAATTCGCTAGGTCTCCTTTTTGTAGGCAACCTCATTTTAACAGATATCGTAGTATAATTATAATTCTCAAATAGTTTAAACGCACGCCTACTTGTCTTGAAGCTCGTAGTCGAATTATATGAAAGAAAAGCTACTAAAATATGTTGTTTTTCATAAATAGAATAGAAAACGTTGTTTAACTTCTCTCGAGAAATAAAAGAAGATTAAGGGGGAAAGAGAGTTAAAGAGATATAACAAAGAATTAGAAGCCCTAATACAGGTAATATTGAAATAATGATATCATAAACGGTGAAATTAAATTTAGGTAATAGAAATTCACTTTATGTTTCTCAAGACGATAAACAAATCGAGGGGGAGAGCGAAAATTATAAGTCTCGCTCTTGGTTAATCCCTCTCTCTCTCTCTCTCTCTCTCTCTCTCCTTATTTTGTTTTTTTCTCTTTTCCTATTCATCCGATGTTGCTTCTGTTTTCAGTTTGTGTTTTGATTTCTGTTTTGCCTCGTATTCCCAGCGCAGTGTCCATTTCAAGGTGCATGCAACATGTTGCACTTGAGTGGGAGGGGAGCCGCTTATTATTATTGTTGTTGCTGCTGTTGCTGCCGCAGTTGCTGCTGCTGCTGCTAGCTGTGGCCAAAAAACAATCTGCAATATGTTTATGCATTTCTTGCGGTCGCTTTGGCGGCATTGGCTGACTTTGGCTACGACAATGGCGCTTTTGCCCGGCCACTGGAATGTGGGTCCATTAAATTGTGAGCCTAATACACGATTTGCTGGCTGCATTTGTTATTGTTGCTGTTGTAGTTGTTGTTGTTGTTGTAGCTACTGCTCTTGCTGCTACTGCTGCCGTTTTGTTTGTTGTCGCGCTGCATTAGCAATTTAATTGATTTGTAGGCAACAATTTGTCTGGCACCACAAGTCTTCGTATCTCAGCAGCCAGCAATCTGGCTCGTTGGCCTCCATTCGCCTGGCAGCAGGTTTTCAGTTTGTGTGTCATAAAATTTATAAATGCATAACATAGAACACATCAAGATCGCCCAGATCTGAGAAACACCCCCGACTTCATATCGCATGCTAAATCAAAAGACTTGCGACACAAACTTGGCAACATGGCGGCACAACACGTAGCACAGCACACAAAAACAAGAGAAGAGCAAAATGAAGAAAGAAGCTAAACGAGTGCCGAATATCAATTACCCTGACAGAAAGACATGTGTGAGATAGAGAGCGAAAGAAAGAGAGAAAGAGGGACAGAAAGAGAGAGAGAGAGGGTGAGAAAGAGACCGAGAGGGAGAGGGATATATTTTTATCTATAGACACGCAGTCTATCACAAATTTAATTATTTAAATATATATATATATGCATATATATATTTAGTTAGCCTAATCAAAAGATATTAAATATATAAAAATATATATTATGAATATGACTATATGCTGACAAGTTTGTGTCGCACTTTAAGAGACAAAATCGAAATACCCCAATGTTAAGGCATAACAAGAAAAGAAGAGTCGCATGCAGAAAGAGATGGCAACAGGTGGCAAGAACAAGAGCAGCCCTTTGGGTTTGGCTTGTTTGTTTTCCACATCGTTGGCTGCTCGTTGTTGTTGCTGCTGCTGTTGTTGCTGTTGTTGCTGCTGTTGCCCTGTTGGTTATTAGCAGCATTCAGCAGCTACACCCATTTAATTAGAGGCCTCTGCTGCTGCTGCTGCTTCACACAGCTGTCGCCCAGCAACAACAGCAACAACAACAACGTTGGCAACTGCTGCGTCACTTAGCAGCCGGAACCGGCGGCCATTTTCAATAATGTTTGCATCATCCTGGCACAAACGAGTGTCTGCAAGCTTCCCCTTTGGGCCGCAGTTTACCTTGGGCTTAAGCAAAGTCTACGATGGCCATCAGAGCCAAAAACAAAAATCTAAAACTAACTTCTGGTTAATGGTTCGAGCAAAAAACCGAACCGATTTGTGATCGGAGCAAGTAAACCAAAAAAAAAAACACAAAAAAAATTGTTTCAAATAAAAGCTTTTAAAAGCGAATAAATTGCCAAGCGTTAACCCATGTTTAAGCCAAAACTTAGATTCACAGATGTGAAAAGCTCGACTCACGAAACGAAATTTAAGGCATGAAGTTCTTTTGAACCGAACAACTAACCAATTTTTTTGGTCATTTGCAGCCCTGGTTCGAGCCAATGCCTGCTCTTTGGATTAAGTTTGATTCAAGTTCGTTTTGCAAAATGATTCAAAAGAACCAATTGTATTGTTTTCTCAAAAGTTGGTTTGGTTCACGTTCAGATTTGAGTTTTTATAGAAAAGTTTGCGGCTTAAGTTTTATTTTATAGTATAGAGAAAAATTGGAGTGGCAAATGCGAATACAGTATCGCTTTTTCTTTTTCGGTTTCTCGTCTAAGTTTCTATCTAACTCTGCCTCTACCCTGAGCTTCCAAAGCATTAACAGCAGCTTTTTCAGCTGTTGGCCACTGTTAGCTGCTCCCACTGCATGATTTATGCAGCGGGCAGTTATAGAAAGGTCGCTTCTTGTTTCTAGTTTGCGACACCTGCGGCCCAGGCCAGGCCAGGCCAGGCTTCACAAACAGGTCGCTCTTGGAGCTCTTGTTACCAGACACCTCACGGATAACTTAATTAGGTTTTTCAGTCGAAAAGCGGCGCGAAAGGCGGCTAATGCGTTGCCACGCCCCTCTCCTGATGACCCAGTCAGCGAGAGAAAGAGAGGAGGTCAGAGAAAGGGAGAGGGCGAGAGAGAGGAAGACGGCGAGAGAGAGTGAGGGATCAGCTTCTATATTAATGGGCGTCCCGCATAAATTTACACTGTTATATATATTTTTTGGGTTGCCCTGATGAAATCCCAGCTCAACTTCAACTCTCTGCGTCTCACTCTCGCGATCTCTTTCTCTGGCTTTGTAGCCTTAATTAGAGGCTTTCTTTGTGTTGTTTACAAATTGCCCACCATTTGTCTTGGTCAGTTTAATGTGCGTCTTCCCAACTTCATTAGCCTGGCCAAAAAAAGTTCTGGGAATGCGGCAAAGCAGCTCCTCTGGCCAGATTTACAGTTGGACACGCAACGCCCACGCCCCGACTGCAAAAGGCGCCTTCTGTGGTTCAATTGTGCTACAAAGTACAACATTTTCAGCTAGTTTTTGGACTACTGTATACAGTGATGTCTCTATTAACGAACAGCGTTCATAAACGAACCGCTTTGCAAGCTAAATAAATCCCAAAGAGCATTTTGTCTTTGTGACTTGAAATTTGGAACATATGCTTGCGCCAGAAAGTGTGCAAAATATTTAATTTATAATTAATTTATATAATTTATTATTTAGCTTATCCTAGAACGCACACAAAAATGTGGAAAACTTTCCTCAAAAATTGTACTTGGAATTTGAATGGCAGCTGTTGTTAGAAACAGTCGACAATTTGCAAAATTTGTAACTGAAATATAAAAAATTTCAGAAATACATTTTGAGATGACATAAAAAAAAATAAAACAAAAAATATGTCAAATTATGATTACAAACATTAAATTTTGACTTCACGTGTAAATTAATTGTTAAGAGGTTTTACTGTAACGTCATTCTGATTGGTTGTCCGACCTGGTGATCTTTCACTGTGTGTATATGTAGAATCTTAAACCTAGACTTAAGCCAAGTTTTACGGCGGGTTTCCTGTAGTCACGCCTCCGCGCCACTCTGCTGTGCGGCTGCAGCTGCGGCGCGAAGACGTTTCAGCTCCTGCTGATGCTGCAGCGTTACCTCTAGAAATTTCAAGTACTCAACATCCACTTGATCCACTTCGTCATTGAACGCATTCCATTCCAAGTGCTCCTCCCGCTGCAACTCTTGCTCTTCGTATGCCTCGTCCTCCTCCTCCTCTCCCTCGCTGAAGCTCTCGTCTGCCGCTGGCTCCATTCGTCCACGACAGACGCTGTGCACCTGCGCCTGATGCCACTGCAGCAGTGTCTTGTACGTGCTCCTCCAGATCTCGGCGGGCAGCCTAGGCGCGCCCACAGCAGCTGCGGCTGCTGCAGCCGCCTTTTGTTTGTGTCGCTGATGTTTGCGTTTGCGCTGCTTGCGTCGCTTCCTCTGCCTGCCCATTTCCATAGCTTTTCCTCTTCCTTTTACTTTGATATGTTATTTATTATGTGCTACGCATTATTTTGTTTATTATTTTGTCGTTTTGCGATGCATTTGTTGTCTATCGAAATTTAATGTTTATCGTCGCCATGTTGCCAGATGTTTGACAGACAACAGCTGTGCGTGACAGCGTTGCCGTCTCGGCGGCGCAAGTTAAAACTAACGCAAAATGACACACAGATGGCGTCAGCGATGCCCTTTTTACATTAAACGGCCGTTGAATTTTTTCTCTCTATACAGTGTTCCCTCGCGAACAATAACAATAACTTTTACACTGCCTGTTGGGATTATACCCTCCGAAGTTTCTATATTTTTTAAATGTTTTAAAAAAATAAGAGAATAGAATTTTCGGAAAAATAGGATGATCAGGAAATTCATCTGAAACCTGGGATCACCTCATCAATTATATGTCCCGTTATGGGAATTTTAATAAAATCCTGTCGATGGTATAAGTGTTTTCAACTATTAACAATCGAAATCAAGGAGCGGAGGCGCTAAAAAAAGTTTTACAGCACTACTTTTCAAATGTTATTAACCATGAACAATCGAAATTAACGAGTGGAGCCCCTTTCGAACGTTTTGCAACTCTAATTTATAGCCCCCTAATCAAATCTATGCACATAATACACACAAATGTTATCAGCAATCGAAATCAACGAGTGGAGCCCCTTTCGAACCTTTTTCAACACTATTCTACAGGTTATATCGGCAGGTTGACCATTTTGACGAACCCCTTTGCCAGCTGAGCAGCTTGCTCGGCCGACTGACTTCAATTTGGAAGCCGAAGGCCCGCGCTGAAAGGCAAAGATTGTTGTGTTGTTCTTTTAAATTCAAATCCTCAGCCCTCGGCCGTGTTCTGTGACTGGCCTGCGCTGGGCTCGAAGGAGTTGCGACTGCGTTCGTAGTTTTGGCCTGGGATTAGGGCGGATCAATTTGCTTGTGGTGCGAATGCAAATTGGCCAGCGGTATGATTTAAATGAGGCTCAGCACAAGCGTTCAAACAAAAGGCGGAAGCGGCCGATTGAGTGCATCCTGCTGTGTGCACTCGGCCGGCCGGAACAACAAATGTCCTTTTTTTTGCTCATGCGACCGTCGTTCTGGATGAGCTTTGCCTCGCCGGGCGCAGGTCGACCGCACGGCAACATGCTATAAAGGAAAATTAGGTTTACACCTACTTTTCCAATATGCTCATAAAACAATTTAGAGATTTACAAGGGATCAACTTAGATATGGTCCAGCATAGAGATTCTCTTTCCCTCTCTCTCTCTCCCTCTTGCTGCCTGCCTTCTGCTCTATATTTCTGTGAGTTTGAGGGTGTGGGTGTGTGTGTGTTTGTGTGTGGCAAGGCGCGTGGACGCGGCCATAAAAAGCAATCCTCAATCCTCCTCAACTACTCACACGAGCTACTCAGAGCCTTGGCACTCCACACATGTTTACTTTGGCAGCTTGTGGGCGGTGTGGGGCGAGCTTTTTCATTTTCGATGAAGTAATATGCGCTGATAATATGAGAAAAATATCCTGCGGCCAGGATTTGCACGCACTTATTCCCTTTTAATGGACTCCGCCTGATATTTTGGGCCAATTTTTTCTGCGCATATTTTTTGCATATTTTTGTCGCATATATTTGCCAGCTCCGGCGGATAATGCCCCACTTTTTTCATTCGTTTTTTTTTCGTCAGCGATTGCCAACACTGATGCCCCTGCTCGGGCGCTTTTAAGGCTTTACACTAGCATTCTGAGCTTGGAAAATTGGGCTATACTCAACACACATATTGATCTTGTTGTACAACAGTCAGTGCAAAAGGCAATGCAAGTGTAGTTATTGTGCGTTTGCCAACACTGCTCTCCCGTAAAGGGCACCAGACTTTGTATAGGAATGCGGCCAAATAGGCATTTTCGGTAGATTGAGCTTCACAAAGCTCAACAACTGAGTCGATTTATCAACTAATGAACTAGTCTATATATTTTTCTGACTATTCCAACACTCATGTTCCGCGTCAAGTGCATTTTTGGCTCTACAAATTCGAACTCTCGCTGGTACAAGGACGTCTACGTATTTTATCTACGGTAAAGCTCCGAGACATATTCATTGATAGTCATTGATAGGGCGCCTTTCCAGCACTAGAATCTAGAAATAGCGCTGCTAAGTGGAAACCCTCATATCTTTTTCTCTAGTACCCAATACATAACACCCCACTTTATTTGCCATGCATTAACCAACACTAAAGTCCTTGCTCGGGCACTTGCCACGCTCTACATGCAACTGGTTTCGGGCGTGGCAAAATGACAATTTGCCTTTACAAAGGGGTTTGCAAATTGATCTAGTCCGCGGCCGAGCAGCAGGTACAAGCTGGTGGGATTATAATTCTTGAGCATGGGATGAGCCGCAGCTTGGCCCAGACTAGCCAAAAGATAGGCAAAAAGAAAAAGGGTAGAGTGGCAGAGTTGGGCTAGGGGTAGGCAAGTTAGTAACTCTCATTACTTTAAATGGATTTCAATTAAGTTGCAAATTGATCTCAAAACAATTGAGTCCCGTCGAGGCGTTTGAGTGCACTCAGTTTGTGCTTTAACCACGCGTCCTAAGCCAAACCGAGCGGCAATCCGAGCAGCGCGTAGGACACAACAGACAATGGGACAAAGGGCTGCTGCTGTTTTTGCTGCTGCTGCTGATCCACTTGGTGGTTGTAGGCGGGCAACTGTTTTGCTCTTTTCATTCAGCTTGGCTGTAAGCGATACGCGACCAGAAGCAGCTGCCAATTGCTGGGGCCGGGCAAAACCCCAACCCCAAACTCGAACCGAATGACTGGCAGTTTTCCCAGCCACGGCAGCCAAGTGCCGTTTGTCTCTGGCGTTGACAGGATAACGAGATTTTCAAGTGGCCGCGCCGCTGCACCACTTCACACCACGCACCACACACCCTTTCTTCATTCCGTTCTTGATTTGCCTGCAGAAGCTGAAGTGTTCCAGGCACATCTGCGGTTCGGGCCTTGGTCCAGCTCCAATCTAACGGAGGCTCAACTAATCTGCGACGGTGCTTAAGGATTTTTCTCGCAATTAGTTGCAGGAAATTGGCAAAAATAAAAAGAAAAGGCAGCGCAGCGCACAAAAAACGCAACTGAAGCGATTTTCCAAGGACTTAGCAGGATCGCCAGCATCGGCAGCAACAACAATGGCAACAGCAATCAAATGCGCATCAGCAAACAGCACAAAGTGCCAGAAGAAGCCGCCGTGTGAAGAGAGAGAGCCGAGCAGCATTGCTCCCTACCCCTACCCCTGCCCCCTCTCCATAGCCTATGTGTTGCGGCTGGAACAGGGCTTATCCCGGCTGAGCCTTGTTGCGATTTGAACGGTCAATTGAAAAGCGACCAGAAAAACGATCTCGCATTCATAATGGGAAAACGACAAAAACAAAACAACAGAAGAAGAAGAAGAAGAAAATGCATCAACTACAGCCGAGCAACTGGCCCAGAACAGCAGCTCGGTAGCTGCCATTGTTTTGCCATTGTTTTTTATGGCCGACGCGGCAAATAGAGGCAACAAAACAAAAACACGGCATAACAACACGAAACGAGAGAAAGGGAGAGACTAAGAAAGAGAGAGAGAGAGAGAGGGCAGAGAGAGAGGGGAGAGAGAGAGGGGAGAGAGAGGGGGTGAAAAGAGAGCTAAAGTAGACTCCGACATTTGTAACAAGAAATCAAAATAACTATAAACCATATTGCTCGACTAGAAGATATCCTCTACTCAGCTGCGAGCCCCTCTCACAAATTTTCTAGCTTCCTTCTATACACACACACACACACAAGCACGCTGCAAACTGGACATTTTATGAAGCGACTGTGCTTCATCTATCCTATCACCACTTTCTGGAATATACATTCTTGAATAACTCGAGTTTTAATTGTTGAATTTTCATAAAATTCGCGAGTCATAAATATAGCATTAAAACGTGTGCAAACACCAAAGCTCTATACTAAGCCTCAAAAAATTCCTTACTTACTCGTCTTGTTGTGTGTAAATATTAAAACCTAAGCTCATGCGTCCAAAAATTCCCGAATAACTTTGATTGTTATTGTCCCATTCTTGTAACAATTCAAAATGTAGTGATTCATATTGAAAGCATCTTATAACTAACTTATTCTGGATCTGTATTTACCCGATGCTATCCTGTAATCGAATTTTATGTGTCTTTAGCTCTTACAAAATAAATTACTTTGATTTAAACTCGATATTTTTGCGCCACAATAGGATTTACATTTAGAATTTCAGTTCTGTAGCTTTCTAGTCCCCGAGATTATCGCGTACTGGAAAACATTTGCAACATGGCTCAATTGATTCATCTGTTGATGCTGAACTACAATTTATATGTTGCATAGGATCCTTTTCCTGTGACATACATATGCACAAAAACATTATACCCTTTTTGAAAGATTTCACCCATTTCCAATAGGCTCAGGGCATAAATAGAGGACCTAGACTCCGACAATTGTAAAAACAAACACACGCCGCGTGTCTTGCGAGGAGCTGCTGCATGCCCCAAACGGTGGCAACAGCGGCTCGGGCTCTGTTTTCCCTGGCATCTTTTGCAAGCCTTTTTCTCGTATGCCTGTTTGTCTATTTGTCTGTTTGTTTGTTTGTTTGCGTGTCCCAGTGTAAAAAGTGGAATACTGTTTGGCTTTGGCTGCCTTTGACAAAAGGTGCGTAGCACTCGATACACCCCAAACAATGCCCCATTCCTGTGACCGCTTGTGAGATTCTAGTCAAGAGGCAAGAGTTAAGGCAAATACCAGACCGAAAGAAAAAAAAAACTGGAACTCCGCAGAGCGGGCCACACGCAAACCGGGCTAATTAATTGAGTTGAAATAATTTCGAGTCTACTCACATTTCACTTTTCACTTTTCAGTTTTGCCACTTATGATTTATTCACAGCCTTTTTCGGCTTGCCAAAAATATGATTTTCTCAGCTCGGCTTTCCCAGTCATTGCCGTCCGCAAATATTTGCCGCCCATTTGTTTCCTTGTGCACATCCTCAAGGCACATAATTTAAATTTTTAATTACGCAGCAAATCAACAAAAATTATGACAGACCTACCGAGAACCCGTCT